TTTAAAAAAAATAATAAATAAATAAATCTGTCTTGGAGAATGTGCAATGAGGGTGCAGGTGGTAAAATGCTGTCTCACACGTTTTGGGCATGCTATCAAGGGAGGTCAGTCTTCGGACAACATCATACTTGGAAAAGCAGAGGGTCAATAAAAGAAGAAGGTATCCAAGGAGATAGACTGAAACAGTGAATACAGCAATAGCCTTGAGCATAGTAGAGATTGTGAGAATGGTGAAGGATAAGGCATGGTTCAGTCTATTGCCCACTGGGTCACTATCAGTTATAGCTGACTTTATAGCACTGAGTAACACAACATCTCTTGTAGACTGGCTACCATCAGTCTCATCAGATTCACCAGCCCTTAACAACAGAGCGTTTTCTAAAGAACTCTAGTGGTATGTTGGTTAAGAGCTTAGCAGCTTGGAAACAACCTAAACGCCCATCAACAAACGAATGGATAGAGAAGATGTGGTATATTCACGCAATGGAATACTACACTGCATTGAAAAACAAGGAACTCATGCAATATTATTCCAAATGGGTGACTCTGGAGGACATTATGCTGAATGAAGTATCTCAGTCACAAAAGGACAAATATGCATGGTGCCACTGCTGTAAAACAGGACTGATCTTGGGGTTGGGGAGAGACTGAGAAAGTTGGGTTCAATAATGTATACTGCATTGAAACAGGTAAGGGAGAAAACTGTTTAAAAGGGATATGTGATTAAGTATTTTTGTCATGACAGAGCGAAGGCTACATGGTGGAGTGAACCTGGGGGCGGGTTTGTAGAACAATGAAAGAATTTTTCTCTTACTTTTCCAAGAGGGTAGTGTACTAGGGGGGAGGGTTGAAGAGTGCAACAATGAATGAATGTAAATCCCAAGTCTCTGTAAATTTTTACTGAAATAATAAATTTAAATTAAAAAAAAGATATTTTCAATGAATACATCTTTCATTGTACAAAAAAAAAGAGCTTAGCACCTAACTGAAAGAAAGGTTGACAATTACCAACTTCTAAATGAGATAAAGATATGGCAATTGGCTTACTTAAGGATTACAGCTTTGGAATCACTGAGTCAAAATCTGTTTCAACAGCAAAGAGGAGGTACAGGATCATCTAAGACCAAGTCTAGGGGATTATCTTTAAGAATATTTAATTGTCTTTGAAGGAGGCAGCACATTCTTCATTAATGTGCATCTTTGATTACTTCTCATCTGTTTACTTTGGAAAGTCTTTTTTTTAACTGATTCTCTTTCCTACTGCTTTTACTCTCCTGCCAGCAAGAGCTTCCCAATCCTCAATTTTGTTAGCAAAAATAAAAATCCTTACACTTAAACATTACCATCACTCTCCTTTCTCTGCTTTCTCTCCATTAAACCAGCCACTCAAGCCAAAGGAAGGAATACAAGTGGCCCTCCTAACACAAGGGCATGAGCAGTTTCTCTAATTGGCTTCCTAAACTGGAAAATGCTGTGGTCAATGTGACACTGAGTTAAAGTTCTTTCTAGTTTTAGCAATCTTTAATAGAAGAGGAAGACTCCCAAGGTGACGGATTGACACGGTGACTTCAGCAATGAGCTCTAGTGTGTCAGAGAGATGATGAGGATGGCACAAAATAGGACAGGGTTCAGTTTGGCTATTCAGAGTCATTATGAGTCATACTCACCTTACCAACATCTAACAACAATAAAAGAACTACTACACCAGATGAACTACACCATTACACAAGATATCAAAAATATCATCCATGAAGAGAGTGAAAGATAATTACAAAAACAGGAGAAAGAAAAGATCAAAATGGTTATCACAAGAGCTCCTGAAAACTACACCAGAATAATGGTGAGGCTTTGCTTCACATACATTGGACATATTGCTAGGAGGTGCCTATTCCTTGAAGAAGGACATGATGTTGGGAAGGGTGGAGGGTCAGCAAAGGAGAGGAAGACCCTAAGCCAGGTGGATTGACAAGGTGACTGCTGCAGTGGGCTCTTGTATGTCAGGAAGTGTGAGGATGGCACAGGAAAGAACTTGTTTCAAATCTTTTGTTCATAGGACTGCTATGAGTCATACTCGACTCGATGGCACCTAACAACACAACAATTGAGGGGCCAAAACAAAGGGAAGAAATGATAATGGAAAGAACAGATGGTACTGAGGTGTTTTAGTTCAGTTTATACAGTAAGATGATAAGGAATGCACGAGACAGGACAGGGTATGTATTTGTTGTTTATAGGGTCGCTATGAGTTGTGCCTGACCCAACAGCCCTGAACAACAAGAGAACTAAGTTGTACACAAGTATGCCTGCCAAGACAAAATGAAATATTGTCACAAATTTTTCAGGCTACTTTGTTTAGTATTGCAGGGAGGGGAAACTGGAATGGAGAGGAAGATTAATTTTTTTGCAGCTAAAAAGACCTAGAGTCCCAAAAGTTATTCAATCAAGACCTTGAGCAAAATACTTATCTTAAGCCTGATTCTTCATCTTTAAAGAGATCTTACATTTTGCATAATTTTTAAAAAGAACTGAAAATACACTTATCTGATGCAATTTCTCAAGATGTTGTTCTTCTATAAATGTAACTGAAGTAACATACAAAGGAATACCACTGAACTTTGGGAAATGTGAATAGATTCAACTTTTCAACAACCCTAAAGGTAGCAGAATAAGGTAGGTGTGACTAAGGTAGGTGTGCTCCCCTAAATTCTACCTAGACGATCTTCCTAAATTACAACTCAGGTCCCAGTATCTCAACTTTCTATTTGACATGTCAGGTCAACAAGCTCATACAGTCTATTAAGCACGAAATGTGCTAAATACTATGCAAGGCAAAGAACAGAGGCCATTACAAAGTACGCTTTTTCTAAATATTCATATAACTTAATCCTAGACAGCAGAGTTAATATTATCACCACCACCATCAGATTATCCTCTCTTTTTTAAATTAAGCGAATGAGGCTCAACATATAAATAGTTTCCCCAAGGTCACACAGCTAATTAGGAGCCAAGTCTAGTCTTTCTGAGAGATACCTTAATTCACCTCATTTGTCTCTAGGGAGCTCTGGTGGTGTTATCTGTAGGTTATTGAGCTGCTAATACAAAGGCACCTAGTTATTCAAATCCACCAGCAGCTCTGCAGGAGAAGGATGGACAATCTTCTCCAGCTTTCTAAAGGTTGCTATGCATCAGAGAGCTGGACAATGACAAAGAAGAATCGATGTCTTTGAATTGTGGTGTTGGACAAGAGTACTGAAAAGACCAAAAATCCTCACTACTAGGTCAATAGGCAGTGTCATGAAAGATGAATAAAAGATTGAAGTTGTTAACAATTTCATCTTGCTCAGATCCACAATAAATACCCTTGCCAACGGCAATCAGAAAATCAAAAGGCGAGCTGCACTGGGGAAATCATCAAGGACTTCTCCAGACTACTAAAGGGTAAAGTTGTCAGGCTAGAGACTAAGGTGTGGCTGATTCAGGCCATGGTCTTTTCAAGCGCTTGCTATGACTCTGAGAGATGAACAATGACTAAGGATAACAGAAGAAAAACTGATGCCTCTGAGCTGTGGTGCTGAAGAAGAGTACTGAACATACCATAAATTGCCAAGGGAACAAACATTATCTGTTCTGGAGAGAAACCGGGTTGTGCCTTGGAGGCAAGGATTTTGATATACACCTCATACACTTTGGGCACGTTTTCAGGAGGGGTTAGTCTTTGTAGAGAGACAACATGCTTGGAAGGGTGGAGAGATGGTGCAGGAGAGAAAGACCCTAGAGGAGATGGAATGACACAGTGCTTGGGGTCAGATGGGTCAGGAACAGTGAGGTTGGTTCAGGATAGAGCAAGGTTCGGAGCTGTTGTTCATCTGAGTCACTATGAGTTGTATCTGACTCAATGGTACATAACATCAATACTACGTTCCAGGATAAAGGGCAAAATGTATAACCCACTTGTTCAAAGAACAGGCCTGAAATTGGTTTCCTTTAATCTCAGCTCTCCCTCATTAACTACATAACTTGCATAAATTAACTATAGTCTATGCTTCCATTGTCCTTAGTAGAAACTGGGTTAATAATTAAATGATATTCATAAAGGGTTTAGCACAATGTATAATGTCCACTAAGCACTTGAACGTGAGCTACTTTCATTATTCCAGGTTCTGAGGACAGAGAAGTGAATCTGACAAAAACTTTGGCCTCAAGAGTTTACACTCTTGTAGAAGGCATATAAACTAACAATTGTTGTAGCTACTTCAAACTGTGATGTGTACTATAAAAAAAAATTATTCATAATCATGAGTTGTAGGAAGTTACTTTTTGACTGAGTGGTCAAAACGAGATTCTCTGCAACCAAATTAAAACGTTAGCTTGAACGCCAAGAATGAATCGGATATAAGTTATGAAACTATGTCATCTTCCAGGTGGAAAAAGATGGAAGGCGACATGGCACAAGTGGGTAAGAGGTCAGCAGGGAATAGGCCACCCTCTTAAAACAAGGCAATATGGTAGAGTGTCTCGTATTCACACAAAAAGGCTAGGAACCCACTAGAGGACGTTAAACAAGAGGAAAGGTACATGATCGATTTAAACATTTTGAAGTGTCCCTTTGACTCCTGCAGTGTTAAGAGCGGGCTGTCAGAGGCAAGGGTGACAGCGGAGAAAGTCCAGTTCAGAGGCTGCTGCTCGTGTCCAGGTTTGAGAGCTCAAACACCAAGACTCCCAGGAGCGCGAACAGGAGGAGGAACAAGTGCACCCTCAAGGAATAGAAAAACTAAGGCACTGAAGCCGGAAGGTGTGGCCCGGGTCCCGCCCATCCTAGTGGTCTCCGCTCCCGCTGAGAAGCGAGGACAACGTCTCCCTCGGTCCGGCGCTCGCTCCAGGCCGCGCCCTCGGCCCGCGCCCGGCCGGCCTGACCCGGGACCAGCCCCCCAAGCCGCCCTCCACACCCGGCCCGGGCCCAGGTCACGCTCGCTCGTCGCAACGCGGACTGCACGGCTCACCCGGATGCCCTGCAGCACCCGGACCCGTTCCTCCTCGTCCATGCCGAAGGTCACTCTGCGGGACTCGCTGCTCTCGGCGCTCCCCATGGCACACACCCTGCGCTGCACGGCCACCTGACAGACGCGCCCACCCGGCTGCCGCGCCTCCAGCACGTTTCTGCACTCGCGGCTGCCGCCTCTGCCCACCTGCCCGCACACGCAAACAACACCACGTCCTATTGGCTCCGGCGGGGCTCACGCAATCGCGGGCGCACGGCCGCAGGGCTTTGTGGGGGTTCAAGTCCGCTCCCTGGTGGGGGCGGGGACCATGCGGCCGGTGGGCGGCC